ACTTAAAAGGCTGCTGTTTGACAAGAAACTTTGATTTCTACAGAGAGGGAAAGAAGGTAAGGACTGAAAATCATCCAGTGTGAATGAAGGAGAATGAAAAATTGAGATAACTAAGTCAGAAGTCAGAAAGTGGTAGGCCATAACAAGGGGTGAAATGTCAGAAAAGTACAGGAGGTCAAAATCCAGGCTATCTAGTTACTTGGGAGTAAGAAGGAAGGGGCACGGGGAGAGGGAAGCCACCAGAGTGGGGGAAATATTGAGGACTAGGACCCCCTCCCTACTCTGTTCCCATAACCTCATTCATTCCCTCAATCCTCCTTCCCAGTCCCTCTCATGCGGCTATGCTCCTTAGTTCTGACCCCGTTTCCTGAGGATCTCATTCCCTGAGGAGACAGGCTTGACATTTCAGACAGAGGCTGCGGAAAGGAGGTAGGTTGAAAGAGACACTGTATATCTGCGTCATTTTATTTTCTGCTTTATTATTTTGGAACCTGGGGGCCAAAGATTTAAGTGCTTAGACATAAACCAAGAAGCTCAGTGATAGTTCCCAATACGAAGGAATATCAAAACTTCTCTATTTTCTGCAGAATAATTACTACCAAGTTCCATAATTAGGCAGTAGAAATGGTGATTTTGAACTTCCATTTCTGTTCCTTGTGGCAAAGGTGATGCACAGTGTGTGTGTGTTGGGTGGCGAAGGTGGGGGGGTGGGCACTGTGGGAGGGGGTGAGGCTACCCTGGAAGTAGAGCCAGAGAATGTCTTCAGCATTAAAAAGCTTCTTTTCTCTATGACAACCATCTCTAAATTCAGTAGCCAGAAGGATAAGGCCTCCCCGCTGATCTTATAATCTTCCAGAATTCCCTGCAACCTTTTGTTCTTGGTAGTGCCTCAGACTTCTGCAGCTTTTAAGATCCCAGGCCTTAAAGGGACTGCTTGGGGAGTGACTATACCTCTTGTTTCATACCTGTGGGAAAAATAACTGCAATTCCTTGACTCTTCAAGGAATTTATTAGCCAGGGAACGTGTGGATATCCCAAGAGCAGGCTGTGGCAGAGAAACTGAGCATTTGCTGTAGGAACCCAGAGAGCATTCTTCCGTAGATTTACAAAACCACCCATTTTGATATACTTGGTGTATATCAATGTCCCACTTTTGATGTTTTGGATGCGTGCTTCTGACCCAAAGCCCTAAATGTAGGAACCAGGTCACATCTCAGTTGGAATAACCCCTAGCCCATTGTCACTTTTGGGTACAGGCTTCAGGGCCTGCTGGACTGTGAACTCCAGGGCAGGGACCATCTCTCTGAACTTTATTGTCATTTTTTCATTCTAAGCTCTGTGTCTGGCACACAGTGGTCATTTTCAATAAATTTGTGATGAATGAATGAATGGTGACTTTGTTGATAGGATGACACTGGGGACAGTGACAAAGGTGCTCCTTTTAGCAGTGCTGAGCATTCCCAAAGCTATGCCTTCCTTTATTGAAGAAAACAGGGGTTGGTCTTCAGATGAGGTCTTTAGTCACCTATTATGTCCATGCCAGGAGAAGCTATCAGTGATAGAGAAGTCAACAGACAGCTGGCTGGGCATGATACCTGGTAAGGAGAGAACTGGTTTCTCCTATGCACGCCTGCCTTCTCACTCCTCTGGCGAGGGTCACCTTCAGTGTCTTTTGCCAGCAACTTATCAGGAAGGACCATGCCTCTCTGGACTTAGAAGATCTAATTCTTAAGCTCTGCCACCTCTACTGGCTTTTCTTGTCCTGTCCAGGCACCCAATTCCTGGTCCCTTGACTTTGGAACAAAATTTAAACCCCACATTCTTTGTAGCTTTTTCTCCAAAGAAAGAATAAAATGCTACTTTATCTTTAGAGCAATTCTGTGAGGTTAATGGAGCAGGGTGATTCTGCATAGATAAAGGAAGTCCCTTGCCCAAAATGTTTTAAAACTCCTCACAATTAGGGTTTTACCTCTAATGTACTATATAGCTCAAGCAATAAAAATCATTCATCATCAAAAAAATAATTCATCATCTGCTAAGATTGATTGAGAATTTAAACATTGAGCGTTCTAAAATGAATACATTATTTGGCAAGAAGAGATTTTAAGAGACAAACTGGCCCATCTTTTGGCTTTCAGACAGGCCAGTGATCTATAAGTTGAGTGTTGGTTGGGAAAGTACTTGAAACAGAAGTCAAAAGGACTAGCATGTGTGTCCTGGAGTTGTCATTTACAATGCAGATGATCTTGAGCAAGTCATTTAGCCTCTGACTTTTCTATCTTATATACCAATTGTGAAAATTAATTAATATGGAGTATGTGAAAGCTATCAAGTACCAGGCAGGTGTTAATTTTAATGTAAAAGACAAATTGCATCTTTGGAGACTATGTAAAATGAAAATGGTAATTCTGTGTTTATAAGAAAACTTCATAGGAATAGGAGTTCAGCTCATGCCTTGGTCATATTTTTTTTTAAAGGTTTTATTTATTTATGCGTACAGAACTGGGGTACAAGCCAGAGGTGCAGGGGCGGTGAGAAGATTCACCAGAGACAGAGTAGGGAGCAGTGCAGGCAGATAGACGAAGTACACTGCTGAGGGGAGCAGCAGGCAAGACAGGAAAGGTCTGCCATGCCAGGCCATGCCATGTGGATCACCTCCAGCACAGGGGATCGAACTCACACTGAAGCAGCTGCAGCTGGCTTGCAGTGCTGCATCCTAACCCGTTGCGCCACCAGGGAGGGCCGGTCATATTTTTTCTGAAGCCTCAATGAAGAGGAAATAAATATCTACCTCACAGGTGTTATCAAAATCATTCAATGAGATAATGTGTGTACAGTGCTTACCATACTGCTGGTATGCAGAAAAGAACTTGGGGGTATTATCTGTTGTTACTGTATTTGTTTTTTTAAAAAATATTTATTTATGCATACAGAACTCGGGTTCCAGCCAGAGATGCAGGGGTGGGGTGGGGTGTGGGGTGTGAGACAGAATGGGGAGCAGAACAGGCAGATGATTGAAATACACTGCTGATGGGAGCAGTGGTTGGGACAGGAGAGGTCTGCCTCACCATGTGGGTCAGCTCCCTGGCCAGAGATGAAACTTGTGCTGCAGTGGCTGAGATAGCTTCATAGTGCTGCGCTTAACCCCTTGTGCCACCAGGGAGGGCCCATGTTACTGTATTTATTAATGAAGACATGAAGCATGATGGTCCAATGCGATCTGATGGAGATCTGAAGTAGGAATTAATAGAACTCACCTCTTTGGGCCTCACCTTCCCTACTTGCACCATAATAAGAATATATGTATGGCTTTCTTCTTCCAGAGATTATGAGGATTAAAAAAGAAAAGTTTATGAAGACTTTAAATTTACTGAAATTGAGAAACTTTATAAGTTGCAACTTTTTTTCAATGAAGTTTATAAAGAATCTGAATTTTTAAAAATTCATTAGTCTTTGTTAATTTCTATCTGCCTTTAGTAAGGTTGCCTTCTCCATGGAAAAGAAGTACAGCATTTCCCCATGAATAAAAAAGATTTCAAATGTCCGATCTTAAAGTAAATCCTTCAAATCTACCAGAGTACTTTCTTCCTGGGGTGGGGGAAGAAAGGGGAACGGATACTTTTCTTTGTGATGTTCCATTGCCTCAATTCACTGTATTTATGGAGGCTCATTTTAATATTCAACCAGCTCTTCAATTTCCACTTTGATTATTAACAGTTTTCAATATTTAATCCCTAAATGACCTCTCCTTTCAGGATGCTCCCAGATTATCTTCTTTTCTGATTAGTTAGTGTGGCTTCAGGGAATAGCTTCATTTTAACGTTAAACTGGGCAAAAACAGAAATAGAAGATAAATCTGTAGCAAGATCAAAAATAGAATTCACTGCTAAATATAAATCTGGAGGGAATTATCCAATTATTTGGATGGTCCCTTATGCAGACTATCCAGGGTTGATTGCCGTTAGCTTTTTCCATATATAGAACAAAATGGTTAGCAAATAGCAAGAGTAATAATTTTTAATAGTTACTTAAGTGCTGTTTTCTTTTCCTTATGTCTTCATGCTGTTTTATTTTCACAACTGCATGCATTCTCTTTGGGGACCATCCAGTCTTATTTTGACTTGTAGGTCAGAGAGCATTTAACTGGGAAGACCAGGACTTACTAATGGAGTCTCTGTGCAAACTTGGGCACGTTTCTCAGTCACTTTATGCCTTCCATTCTGCTGAGCTAGACTTGGAATGGACGACTCTGAAGGGGAATTCTCTTTTTTTTTTTTTCAGCCTCAATCTAATTTGCAGACTAACAGCTGTTATTTTTTTTAGGTTGGATCAACACCAAGTAGGGACTTGGAAACGTGGAGAAAGACAAATATGGGCGTCACACGAGACAAGGTAGCCAGGAAACGCATGAATATAATGCAAATCAATGCAAATGTATGCAAACAATGCATTAATTCGTAGAACTTTAGTTTGGATCTTGCAGGCAGCACTGAAATCTTATGAGAACTCCAAACTAATGTTTTGGGGGTTAAGTCAAAAGTAATGCTTTTTGAAGTTATCGCTTTCCTCCGTGCTTGCTGGGACTCAGCTGCTGGAAGTTTGATACCCCTCCCTACCCCCCAAGAAGATTTCACTAGTACTCGATTCCAACCTACACGCGGCCCCGCCCCCACTCAGTCGTACACCACGTGACATATATTTGCATACTACCTGGGACTGGGCGTGACGCTCCCCTTTTCTGTGTCTTCTCATTGGCAGTGTCGAAGAACCGGCCCTCTTCAGGAGCAACCAATCATCTGCCCCTCGGACGTAGGAAAGCTGCGGGGGCGGGGTGTAGGTGGGGTCTTGGGGCGGATCGCTGGTTATATTGACCAATACTCCTCGGGAAAGGGAAGAGCCAGCCGAGGATTAGTTGAGAGGAGGGGTCTGGGGATCCATGGGCCAATAAGAGGTCTGGACCAAGGGGGCCGGTCTCCGCCCCGTAGAGCAGATAAGCTGCGGCAGCGGGGGTTGGGGGGCTGTGTGGGGCTCGCTGTGGGGCAGAGCCAGCAGCCGGTCCTGCGGCCATGGCGGGGGCTGCAGCGGGCGGCAGAGGCGGAGGTGCCTGGGGGCCGGGGCGCGGAGGGGCCGGGGGGCTCCGGCGGGGCTGCTCTCCCCCAGGCCCCGTCGGCTCCCCCCGGTCTGGGCTGCAGCCGCTCAGGGCCACGGTCCCCTTCCAGCTGCAGCAGCCACACCAGCGCCGGGACGGGGGTGGCCGCGCAGGTGAGCCTGGCCTGGAGCGGGTGCCGTGGGAGGAGCCGTTGGGGGAGGGGGGCGCGTGACGGGGGGAGGGGTGTGGGAAAGTGTGAGAGGGTAAATGGTTAGGGGCCAGAGAGGAGAAAAGGGGTCGCACAAAGTCTGCGAGGGCTGAGGGAGCGCGAGCGGGGAGCGGAGAACGTGGGATACAGCGCCGGGACCGAGAGTGTTGGGAGTCGGGCCAGGAGGTGAGGGGAGGGACCCGGCAGATGGAGGGTGGCTTTGGGGGCATAACTGAAAAGTGGGCAGAGGTGTCGTGTGGGGGTGATTAGAAGGCGCAGGGGTGGCAATTAGAAGGTGCAGGGGTGGCAGCGAAGAGTAAGGAAAGAGAAGTAAGCGGCGCATGATGGGAGAGCCCTGTGCAGGCTTGAGCTGGAGCCGGGAGCCGGGAGCCGGTGGGCGCTGGAAGTCTGCACGGAGGGGGGAGGGGAATGGAGAGCCCCGAGTAGCCATGTGTTACTTCTCCAACTTGAGTTTGGCCCCAGCATCCCTCTCTAGGGCTCTGGAGTTCCCTTCCTTTCCGCTTCTTGTACGCTTCCCTTCTGGGCCACCTCCTGGAGCTGATTTCATTGGAGCCGTTGGAATAAGATAGTTTAACGGCTTTTACTGCGGTACGAAACGCTCTGCTCCCGATTCCCTATATTCCCCTTGGTGTGTCCCACAGTTCTATGTTCCCAGATCGTTGACCAGCTTTATACGGCTCTCAACAATGGTGTGTGAAAGTGTGTGTGTGTAGAGGAGCTGGCGGTTTGTCTCATTCCAGCCATCCTCTGTGTGTTTGTGTGCTTGCGTCCTCCTGGTGCAGGACGTGTGCAGTTTGCCCTCTGCCATTCCCTCTCCCCAAGGGGGCATTTGTCCCCTTCACTCCCCAAGGCTGTTTTGCCCTGGGCATTGCCAGCCAACGTGGCAGTGGGGTGAGAACTACAGTCCAGTTCACTGTGGCAAATACCCCCACTTTCTGAACATCTGAACAGCACGGTAATGTCTTAATAGCAACGTGATGTGGTGGGTTGGGGAAGCTAGGAAGAAGCAGGCTTAACTTCGTGTTCACACTCAAAGCTGTGACTGGTCTCCTACAAATGCAGGCAGTTAGGACTGGGGAAACCTACTTGCATGAGGAGGTTGGCAATAAGTTGAAAGTGAGGCTTGCATTTGATTCACACCAGATGTGAAAAGATCATTGCACACTTCCAAAGGCTCGACGTTCACCAAATGTACAAAAGTCATGGTCCCTGCCATCTAGCAGTTAATGACATTCTCTAAACCAGAGTTTCTGGAGCTTTTTGTGATGGTTGCTGCTCATCTCCCTCCTCAAAAGTGTAGGGGCTGCGGTGCCTTGGTAGGAATGGGATAAAAAGTGTCTCTGAAGTAGAATGTCCTCAAGTCTATCTGGACCTCATTGTCAGTGTTAGCATCACACTTGGAACATAGAAACTATGTCAAATCTGGTAGCAAGATGGTGACCAACTAGCAAACTTATAACTAGAATCTGACTGTAGATCATGACAATGGCCAGGCAGACTCATGCCTATTCTGAGCTGTCAAGTAAACCACAAGGCTGCAAACCTGTTGACTTTGACTTTGGGCTTCCTTAGAATACAGGCAGGCACCAGAATCGTAGTCATTTTTAGTAAAAATCAGCAGAAAATCTGGCTGTGTTCTTGTTGGAAATTCATTAACGTCACATTTTTTTTTTTTTAAAGATTTATTTATTTATTCGTACAGAACTGGGGTACAGGCCAGAGATGCGGAGGGTGAGAGGCTTCACCAGAGACAGAGCGGGGAGCAGAACAGGCAGATCGACGAAGTACACTGCTGAGGGGAGCAGTGGGCGGGGGTCAGGAGAGGTCTGCCTCGCCATGTGGATCTCCTCCGGGGTGGGTGGGGATCGAACTCTTGCGGAAGTGGCTCTAGCTTTCCAGTGCAGTGCTTTAACCCGCTGCGCCACCAGGGAGGGCCCTCATTAACGTCACATTTTAAGAGCAGTTGCTATAGAACTAATGTTACAAGGACAAACACTAGTTGATGCTGTGGAAGGGAGGAGAGTGTAGGTTTGGATGACTGGGTTTTCACATGGCCAGAGGCCCCAAGATACTCAGAAGCACAGACAAGAGGGTTCTGCATAATTTGCCAGGTGATTTAAGGCAAGTTGGTGGCCTCTTGCTTATGGATTGGGGTGATGAATTATTACTCCACCTACTAGTACCCCAGAGGGGTTAATAAGGCACTTCCCTGGTGTGCAGTGGGGGTTATTAATACGTTTTAAGTGAGACAGGGGAGAGGAAGGATAGAAGGGAAGAGGAGCCTCAGCCACTTTTTTGTGGACAAACATTAAGGAAATGTACTTGCAAATTGATGCGGGAACATGTCAGGTTTTCTGCATGTGAACTTTAGGTGTATTCAGATTGTTTCCTCAGCCTTGAGAAGTGGTTTCCTCTAGACCACTAGGTTGGTTGTATGTGATAGAATGAAATGCCTTACAGTCATAAAGGCTTCAGAGAATGACTGGGTACTAGATGACTGGGATTTGAATCCAGTTTCTGCCATTTACTCACTGTGTGGGTTGAAGGAAATTTCCGTTCCTCAGTTTCCTCATTTGTAAATAGTAATATCTACAAAAGAGTCAAATGAGTTAATAGTGGTAAGATATTTAGAACAGTGCTGTAAGTGTCTGCTGCCTCTCATATTAGTGTCTTTGCTTCCCCAAGGTGAGAGCACTGTTGGTCAGAGCCAATTACCTTTTCAGGCTTCAAAGAGCAAACCCATATTGGTATGAAACCAGTACTGCAGGTTTCAGAATTTTAGAGCCTCCCCTTACACTTTTATTCCCTCATCTTTTAAAGTGAGCTTTCTAAACAGGGCTCTGCTCTGAAATCCAGCTGTTTAAAAAGGCAGGCATCTAGGTCTGGGTTTTAAGAACAATGAAGTGTCATCACTGTTTCTGTTTCCCATCTCCAAGTGATGTAGTACACAGGGTGTGCAGTTATCTCTCCCCACACACCCTGCTGTGCTCTTGACAAGATATATTAGACCTTGTAAAAAAGGCTTGTGGTGTAAAGAGCAGGGTTTACCTTCTGAGGCCATTCATCCATAAGGGATAGCTTTATAAAGCGAGGAATGGCTTCATTTTTATGAGCCTGGGCTAGGGGTGTGCAAGCAGAAGAGAATGGAGAGAAAAATGAAGGTCAACTCTGAGACAGCTAAGAGCCACTGGTAGGTAATAGAAACCCAGGATAAGTATCTTACTCCAGTTCCTCCTTAAATTCTCGTTTGTGTCTCATGTCAATTGGAAGTTGCTAACTTTTTTTTTTTTTTAATTTATTTTTACATCATTCTTCATTTTATGCCTTTTTCCATCTAGGTTGTGATCCCCGTGGACTTAACCACCACCAATTCACCTGTGTGCCATCACCACAGTCCCGTGCACCTTTTCCCATCCTCCCCCCTCCCCCCCCCCCCCATGCCTCACACTCCTGCTACTAGTGAAACCATCCGGTATTTTTCTTTTTCTTTCTGGCTTATTTCACTAAGCATGATCCTTCCAGCTCCATCCATATTGCTACAAAAGGCATGAGTTTATCTTTTTTTTGATTGCCGAGTAATATTCCATTGTGTATATGTACCACAGCTTTTTAATCCAGTCATCTACTTTTGGGCATTTGGGTTGATTCTATGTCTTCCCTACTATAAACAGAACAGGAAGCTGCCAATTTTCATATCCTTCTAAGATCTCTGATGATGGACAGAGTGGGACTAGGAGGTGAATGGTTCTGGGTTCCAGTCTTATCTGTCCTGTATAGTGTTTATGTCTCCCTAGCCTTTGAGTGGAGATAATATTTAATCCAGCTTTGCCAGTTCTTCTCCACTGAACCAGTCTCATTGGGGCCACTGAGTTCTGGGGAAGCCAAAAATGCTGCCTTCCTATTTATCTACCCACCAGAATTTTCTTAAACCAGGGCTTGGCAATTATGTCCTGAAAGCCAAATTCAGTCTTCTGCCTGTTTTTGTAAATAAAATTATATTGGAACACAACCATCCTCCTTGATTTTTAGGTATTGTCTGTGGCTGCTTAGTACCACAGTGACAAGAGTTAAGTAATTGTAATAGAGGCCAAATGGCCTCCTTGAAGCCTAATTTTTCTAAAATTTATTTATGCACACAAGAACTGGGGTACAAGCCAGCGGTGTGAGGAGTAAGAAGATTCACCAGAGACAGAATAGGCAGATTGACTGAAGTACACTGCTGAGTGGAACAGCAGGCGAGACAGGAGAGGTCTGCTGTGCCATGTGGGTCACCTTCCTGGCCATTGAACTTGTGTTGCAGTGGCCACAGCTAGCTTCATAGTGCTAAGCTTTAACCCAGTGAACCCCTAATTTGTTCCTCATATGGCACTTTACAGAAAAGTTTGCTTTCCCATGTCTAAAGCAAGATCATTATTGTACATAAAGATCAGTTTCAAATGTGCATAATATATACCTCCTCACAGAATCCTAAAGGGGCAAATACAGCTAATAAATTTGTATCCCCACTCATTTTTGGGGAAAAGGATAGGTCATCAGCTTCCAGTCAATTCTCAGCCTGTGGAGGATCAGCACATGTGAATCCAGGCTGCCCAGTCCACCACTGTCAGGTGACATATGTTCAGTAGACATGAGCTAATTTGGATTTACATAAAAGCTTGACTGTTAGGCAAATTTCCCCCCTCCTCTTCTGACAACCCACAACGGTATCGACACATGTCAGAAGAGATGGAAATTACTTTAGGCTTATCTCCTGATTTGGATTTTCCTCATTCCCATTTATTTCTCTCAACAGGTGATAGAGAGCTGATAGTAGCCCTCGCTGCCCTAAAACGCTGGCTTCCCCATGGGCAAGTGGACAGCTTAGTTTCAAACAGCACTTAGTTCCCTCAGGATGGCTGTTTCAGTGACTGTGAGGCAACACTAATGGCAATTATTAAAACTCCT